GGGGATCATTTATTTAAGAAAAGGGAAGAATTGATATCTAATGTCAAATTCATTATTTTTGAGGTGAGCAGAGAAATTCATGTGACAGTGAGTCTCAGGAAAGCTAAACACCAGTGTTAACAATAGCTGTTTGTTGGATACTGGATTATGTATGTTAGACGTAGAATCCTGCATTGAGTGCAAAGCATGCACAACAGGCGTTTAGATTATATTTACTGTATTTCTTGGGTTAGATTATATTTACTGATTTCTTGGGTTAGATTATATTTACTGTATTTCTTGGGTCAGGAAAACCATGAGGGTTTTTGTTTTGTTTTTTAACCCAGTCATACTGCCTTTGTGTGTGTGTTTATATAAATTTGAGCTAAAATTACCATGTCTATTGTTTTTCAAATGCTTTCCTTTGCTTATAATATTTCTCAGTTTTACTTTGTCATATCATTCCAAACTTAGCTCAGAGTCTCTTTTATGTTTAGATCTTATTACGCTTATTTTTTAACCCTTAGATGAGGTTCATTTCATAAAAAAAGTGGGGGAGAGAATGGTGGCTCATGCACTGTGGCTTCTTTGAAGTCAGGAGCTCGTCTCCACTAGGAGAACACAGGTCTAGGCTGCTGTCTCCCTGTACTCGCCGGCAGCATTGCTGCTGCAGGACCTAACTGCTAACCCAGAGAGACCCGTCAGTGAGTGTAGTCCATCGATGGCCCAGGCTGTGTCTAAAAGGGATTTGGCACTGACTCCCCAGAAGACAGTATGATTAAATCTCAGCTACGCTACCCTCTCCTACAGCGTTCAGTGGCGGGGGGGAGGAATACTGAATTCATTTCATAAGGCATTAGCATATAATTACCACGTAGACCAGCATAAGACTGGCACTAGTGTATTGGCTTCCCCTTAGCAATTAGCCCCAGAAAATGCACAGGCCTGGGCATGGTGCTCTCATAAGAATGTAGGATTTATTTATAATCTCTCCTACAATGCAGTGTGGGAAGAGAGAGCTGAGAGTGCCGTGTGGGGAATTGGAGTGATTTCTCAGGTTATAGAAGCAGCCAGAAGGAACTGAGTGGGTGGCACAAGAAGTGCGCAATTGATTGGGCTCGCACACAGAGCTCTGTCTTGTCTGACTCCTGTGCACTTTGGGAGAGGGGAAGTATGAAGTGAGGTTTCTCCACAGCACAACCCAAACGAAAGTCTGCCGTGATGCATATGTAAAATGGTTGTTTGGGGACCACTAAAAATAAAAGGCGTCAGTCCTATGTTTAGCCAGGATAAAGAGGTAAGCCTATAGATGAATGCAGATCTCATTATTCGGCAGTATTTATTGCACAAGAGAATCAAGTGTAACCCACGAAAGGTAAATGGCTGGCCCAATGTAGTTGTAGATGGTCCATGACAAAACTGTCACTCGGGGCCCCTCACGACCACCACTGTCTCAAGAGTGTATCCCTGTAATCTTCACAGCCTGCTTTTTCCCAGTGAATTTTGCTGGGGGTGATTTTGGTATTTTGAGATATAATTAGGAGCCTGGTGGCATACTGGCTACGCATTGAGTTGCTATTTGCAAAATCAGCAGTTCTAATCCACCAGGCACTTGGAGGGAGAAATTGGAGGCTTGCTACGCCTGTGAAGTTACAGTCTCAGGAACTCACAGAGACAGGCCTGCCTCGTCACACAGGGTCGCTATGAGTAGGAATCCTTTGGAGGCATTGGTTAGATGTCCCTTGGAAGTACAGGAGTGGGGTAAAGGTGTCCTAGCCTTTGGGCCTCCATGGAGAGGACTGTTTCTAATTTACGGCGATCAACCAGTAATCCATAGAAGCCAGTCTCTTTCGGTACATGCCATGAATTCTGTTTGTGCCCTGCTGCCCCCCCCCAAATAAGGTCTCTGCTCGCTAGGCCAGAATTCCCAATACGTTGTCTTCTATCGTGGGACTTATTCTCCATTTTGTAAACCCAACCTCTAGATGTTAGTTTCGGGAGAACAGCAGAGCTTTCTGCTCCCATAAAGAGTGAGCGTCTCAGAAACTCACGGGCCGGTTCCGCTCTGTCCTGTAGGGTTGCGATGAGTCAGCATCCACTCAATAGCAGTGAGTTTGTGTTTTTAGATGCTGCCGGCACAGGTTCAATCAATGTAGGGTGTGTCTTGAGTCCTATGCTCGCAAGGCATGCCTCTCCTTCCCTCACCTAAGTGACGCTCTTACTCAAGTCGTATTTTGGGCCCTATGAGTAAAAAGAGAAAGAAGAAAGCAGAGATGAAAGGGGGCTCACTGCTACCAAGCAAGAAGAGCCAAGAGTGGAACAGGTCCTTTGGGCTGGGGAGCCTATGCTAAGAACATTCTAGAACCAAGACATGCAACTTTTGCCAAGGAACCCCGCAACTGTGAAGAACTAAATGTAAGTTTGTTAA